CATTATAAACTCACTACAGATAAATAGAAAACGAGAAAAAAAAACTCACCTTGTGCAAGCAATGAGCGATTTATGTTTGTTGTCCGCTTTTAACTCTTTCACCGAAAAATCATCTAATAATGTAAAGCTTCAATTTTTTTTTTCCTTCCCTACAACATAATCCAAAAGAATTCGAATTCCAAAGAAGAAAAAATCGAACAGATGTAATCGAGAAAGGGTATAGAGAAAGAAAGAAGTTGATCGGAAAAAAAAAATCGAAAAGTGTTGATCGAAAAGAAAAAAAAATCAGAAAAAAAAAGCCAGAGACACGAGATGGAGAGGAAGAGAAATATGAGAGATTATATAGGAAGAAAGATACGTAAGATTGGAGAGAGAGTGTATGAGATTTGTTTTCTTATTAATTGAGTGTGTTTATGTCCATATACTAATTGTTTTATTTTATTTATATTATTTTTTTGTGATAAATGACCTATGCCTATATTCATCTAGCAACTAGGATCTCTACTAGGGGTGTGCGCGGGCCATAAACCCGCGGGTTCTATCAAAACCCGCCCTCGTCCCGTCAAACAACGGTTCTTGATTTTGAAGAACCGAACTTGTGGGTTTTTAACGGGTTTATGATAGGCGGGTCCATGGCGGGTTTGTAGTAGGACCCAACCTTTACGGGTTGAAATCCGTTATCGTCTAAACTATTTTTTTTTTATATATAATTTATAAGTTTTACGGGAGAATAATTAGAAACTAAAATGAATAACCTAAAATTTTAAATTGAAACCAAACATAAATAATGTAAATGTCAAGTGTAAATAAAAATTAGGGTAAATTAGTGGTGGAGACAACAAAGAGCTATGGGTGATTTAAGAAATGTTCGGGAATGTTCGGGGAGCCATGTCACCACATAGCTCTTTGTTGTCTTCACCACTTTCTGAAACCAATAGTCCGTTAGAACCCTATCGGAATAACGTATCCAATTCATTATCCCATTAGAGTTTCTGACTACGTTTCAGGGGGCTAAGTGTAATTATCGATACCACAGGGACCTTACAGTTATTTAAGCATACCTCAGGGGGGTGTGTGCAATTTACCCTAAAAATTAATATAAAACTAAAAATAACTAGGGTTAATATGCTAGAGGTCCCTAGTTGGAAACATAATTAGATATGGAATACAAGCCTAATATTTTTTTCTTAACTAAATCCTTTTTACCAAAATAAATATGGCCTACATCCTTTACCTTTTTTTTATCCCAAATTTGCCCTCAACTTAAATCCATAAATTCTACACGTTTCTCCCAGATCTATTTTTCTTATTTTCTTCCCTCTTCTCTCTCGTTCTTCCCCTCTCCTGTTCTCCCTCTCTCGCTCGTTCTCCACCTCTCACGTTCTCCCTCTCTCACGTTCTCCCTTTCTCTTCTTTCTCAACATCTCTCACGTTCTCCCTCTCTCGTCTCTCTTTCTGTCGATCTCCCTCTCCATCACTTCTCACGCGATGGCTATGGCGCAACTATGGCGGTGGCGTTGGAGGCGGCGTTAAGGGGAGGGTTATGGAGACAAGAGGCGACAACGGCTATAGAGGGGGTGCGTATATAGAGGCGGTGCGTATTCGGTGGGGGTTGTTATGGCGGCGGCCATGGAGATCGCGGGTATGGTGGATATAGTTATGGAGGCGGTTACAGGTGGTGGTGGTGGTCGCAATTATGAAGGGGGCTGGTGGTGGCGGCTATGTTGACGGTTTTGCAAATCTAGGTTTTTATTTTTAGCGGCTATGACTATGGTGGTTGTAGATCTAGGGTTTTATTTTTGGATGACTATGGATTTTCGTGGGTGTCTATGGTTGTCTATATGACTTGTTGGCGGCTAGGGTTCAAAGATGGAGTTAGGATTTTCGTGGTGGAGCGGATCTAGGGTTTGGTGGGGGAAATTCAAGTTTTTTCGATTTAGATGTCTACAGATGCCTATGAGTGTCTATGGGTGTCTATAGGGTGTCAAGATGTCTATGGTCTACTATGGATTTCTACGGTTTCTACAGGTTTCTGTAGATGTATACGACAATTTTTTTAGTTTTTTTTTAAAATCATAATTTTCAATTTATCTAGAAAAGAAGGGGAATAAAAATAGATTTTATATACTGAATAAATACGAAAAATGAAAAAAAAAAAAAGAAAAAAAACCCATAATTTTTAATTTTATGTAGAAAAGGGGGAAAATAGATTTTTATATAATGAAAAAATATGGAAAAAAAATGTGTTTCACAAAATTAAAAAAACAATAGATGCAAAATAAAAAAATGTTAAATAATACCATAATTCATCATAGTATATTTATAATTTGCTGTAATTTTGAATTTGTAAGTAGATGGGCATTTTTGGAATAAATTTAATAAAGGATGTGAAACAAATTTTAATTAGACATGTCATTTAGTTCTAATACGGTTTGTCACCAGGGACTTATATCTTAAGACCCCAAATAACTAATTCATAACTTAAAAGACAAAATTTAAATAAAATAAATATAGCATTTTCAAGCATAACCAACGCTATACAGCTCCATTCAACACCATTTTCTTCCTTTTTTTCTGCCGTGTGTTGACCGTTGTATATATATGCTTTTTTTTCTACATTTTCTTAGAGATTTTCATAATCTTTATAGCTATTACTTCTACAATTATAGTTTAGTTGATTTATGTATTTGATACACTAGAGATACTTCATTTATTCATTAATATTATTAATTTATTATACTATATAATGTAAACAAAACGACGTAGTTTTCTATGGCGGGGCGGGACGGGTTTCACGGGTATTAAAAAAAATTGAACCCATCTAAGACCCAAACCCACGGTTCTTCACCATTTTAGGACTCAATCCTATGGATGGATCTATCCGTCCGGTCCCAACGGGACGGTTTTTCACGGGTTTGACGGGTGTAGCGGGTTGATGGGTCTGACTTGCTCACCCCTAATCTCTACCAATATAAGTCCAGAATAAGGGGTGTCTAGCCAATTTCCCCATTTATTTTTAGGGATTATTTGTCAAAAGTCGCACATTACACAAGTCTAATTACAACAGGTCCAATTTTTTAGAACTTTTTGAGATAAATCCATTTCAACATTAAATAATAATAAATAATAAATTATCACTATTATACCCTTAATTAAAAGTAACGTATGTTTTATGATTGGAAATAAAAAAAATTAAAAATATTTGTAATATCTTTTCCTATTTTATGGTAACAACACATCCTCATATAGCCCCTTAATTACAGAGAAATCGTTTCAACGTAATCTGGGTCATCACAGCCCCGCGACGGAGATTCAATTTCTGATCAGGGTCATCAGAGCCCCTCTTTATGCCTCTTCCAATCTGGAGCGGCCGCACCACCGCCAACGACAAAATCCAAATAATGTTAGATTTATATTAATTCAATCGGAATGGTATTTTTGTTCTAATGTTATGTTTAATTAATATTATTATTGTGCAACAGAGTGTTGAGAGAATATATTGAACTCTATCAACATTATGTGGCGGCGTCAGAATTCATATGTAATGGATTTTTTGTAAATGGGATTTTTTTTTTATTTCGTGTCGACCTAATACTCACCTATATGAACCTATTTACCATTTAGGGGAAAAAATTACCTCTAGATTCGTATTGTTTGGTCTATTTTAACAATTGTTTAAATTTCAACTGATTTTTTTATTTCAAAGTTGATTTAGTGAGTTGAAAAGAATTTCGAAAAAAAAAAGGTGAATGTGTGTAGGAAAGTGCATGTAAGTTGTGTTTAATGCCGTGAAATTAGAATGAAACATGTCATGTCAAAAAATAAAAATAAAAACGAAAAGTTTTTCCATGGTGAATTTTAATACGAAATTTTCTAAAAAGGTTTTAATACGAAAACAATGTATTTATTTCCGCGAAAAACGCTTAGAAACCGAAGCAAATTATCCTCGCCTTTTGACTTGTCTTGAATTACAAATGCACACGGAAGCGCTAAATCTATTTCTGCATTTTCAACACACGCGCATAAACTATACTGATCTAGTTGCTAAGGTATAAATATTGTGCTTTTGCCTTTTTACGCTCATTATTTGAGCACCGCACATCACTAGTATACTAGTAACAAATTCTTTCTAATTTGGTCAAAACAATATTCAATTTCTATACCAATTGACGGCCTTCTTCGCCTGCAATTTCAAGATAAGCCACCATCTATAAAGAAAAAGAAGAGACTAAAATTTAGACAGAGAGAGAGAGAGAGAAAGGAATATAATATTAGTTCATATAAGCACATCAACAGCCCATGAACCAAACAGCCCACGAGTCGAAAAGCGAATCCATCAAGAAAGTTGGAGGGCAACGAAAGCCTTATAGAAAACTTTCTCCAAACAATTACATATACACTGTACGCACATCATTTATTTTAAGGTAAATGCAAATAGGCCCATGACAAGTCACAGGAATATTTAATTAAAAAAATATTGAACTTTTTTTCTCTTGCAAATAAATTCAGTTCATTTAAAGTTATTTGGTAATAAGGAAACCTCTTTTATATATACCAAAATTACCCTCAATCCTTTGAAACTCTAATTCAACCCCAATTTTATGATTTTCACCCGAATTTAGCCAAATTTTACCAATTAACCAATTTTGACCGCCACCGCTGGAGACCGTCGGTCATCCGCTGTCGATTTTTTTTTTTTTAGAAATTTTATAAAAAAAATAAAAACTCATTAATATTAATGTTCAAGACAGTAATATTATGGGACAGTAATACTGCTTTGACATTCAATGTTACTGTCTCAGACAATAATTTTGTTGTTACCACAATAATTTAGAGAGAAAAGAAAGTTTTCAAAAAAAAAATCAACACCTCCGAAGACCGGCGGTCAACGGTGGTTGACTGGTTGGAAAAAAACTATTTTTTCAAAATAATACGAAAATGGGGGTCAATGTAATATATATGTTCAAATCTGGGATCAATGTGCAATATTGATAAAGTTATAGTATAATGAATGAAATTGATGAAAGTATGAGGGGTATTTTAGACAAAAGACATGCATAGTTTATTTGCGAAACTGTTTTGCTGAACCTATGTGCATTTAAGTCCCATGTCATGGACATATTTACCATTGACCCCTTATTTTACGCTACACCTGATAAATTTTATCGAGTAATAATAATATCCAGCCATTACATCAATACACATTTTTACACACATTCATCGATAATTTTATTTATGCCGCACCTTATGAATTTTGTTAGATAATATCCGGTCATACACGTGTATATACTCAATATTGGGTAAACCTACACCCTCGTATAATAACTTGCAAACCGTACGAGGAACGTGACCTAGCGAATGTTGACAAAGAGATTCGAACTTGAGTCAATTGACACAAGCTCACTCTCTCTCCACCGCTAGGCCATCCTTGCAAGACAAATTGCATTCAAATGTTTGAATTGGGGCATTCCAAAAATAGAACTTTGCCACCTATATTTGTTTTTTTATATATGATTGTGTGTATGCATCGGCCAGACTAAACGCACACACCAACACCTAGAACCAAATTTCCTTTCTCCAACATTTATACAAAGCCACACACCAACTCATTATTTCACACACACACACACACACACACCTCAAAACAAACAAGAAAAAAACAAAGCAAGAGAAATATATAATTACTACTCCCACCCCCACACACTTTGCTTTGGGGAGTGCAAGTGCAAGCTTGCTTTGCAACTATCAAAGCTGCAGCCCACTCTGCAAAACTGTGCTTGCCCCCTCCAAACAAAATATAAAACTTATACCATTCTCATCTTCTTTTATTTCTCCTCTGTGCACAACAAAATACTCAGTACCCCATAAACCATAAATAAAAAAAAAAAAAAACCACTTGGTTTTATTTCTTCATTGTTTTCACACCGAATACTCATCTCTTCCACGTTTGTTCCGTCGAAAACTAGCGAGAGTGCGATGATAAGCCTAGGTGATTTTTACCACGTTATGACGGCGGTGGTGCCGCTCTACGTGGCGATGATACTAGCTTACGGCTCCGTTAAGTGGTGGAAGATCTTCACGCCCGACCAGTGCTCCGGCATCAACCGCTTCGTCGCCTTATTCGCCGTCCCTCTCCTCTCCTTCCACTTCATCGCCAGCAATAACCCCTATGCTATGAACCTGAGGTTCATCGCAGCGGATACACTACAAAAACTCATCGTACTCGCGGTTCTCGCCGTGTGGGCTAATTTCAGCAAAAGGGGCTGCCTCGAGTGGACAATTACCCTTTTCTCCCTGTCGACCCTGCCCAACACACTCGTTATGGGGATCCCTCTGCTGAAGGGCATGTACGGCGACTTCTCCGGGAACCTGATGGTGCAGATCGTCGTGCTCCAGTGTATTATCTGGTACACTTTGATGCTGTTCATGTTCGAGTACAGGGGAGCGAGGATGCTGATCTCCGAGCAGTTTCCCGGCACGGCGGGGTCGATCGTATCGATCCACGTGGACTCCGACGTCATGTCGCTGGACGGGCGGCAGCCGCTCGAGACGGCGGCCGAGGTCAAGGAGGACGGGAAGCTCCACGTCACCGTGCGGAGATCGAACGCTTCGCGGTCGGATATCTACTCGAGGAGGTCGGTGGGCTTTTCGTCGAACACCCCGCGTGCGTCGAATTTGACGAACGCGGAGATTTACTCCCTGCAGTCGTCGAGGAATCCAACTCCGAGAGGGTCGAGTTTCAACCACACCGACTTCTACTCCATGATGCAGGGCGGTGGGACTGGGAGGGCATCGAACTTCGGCGCAAATGACGTTTATGCCCTCCCGAATTCTAGGGGCCCCACCCCGAGGCCGTCGAATTTTGAGGAGGAAAGTGGAAACAATATTAATGGAAGCAAAGCAACGTTCTACCATGGCGGCGGTAATAATAATAGTAATAGTAATAGTAGTAGTAACGCGCATTATCCAGCGCCGAACCCAGGTATGTTTTCTCCGGCGGGTTCGAAAACAAATGCGGCGGCGAAGAAGCCATTAAATGAAGGTGGGAAAGATCTACACATGTTTGTATGGAGCTCGAGCGCTTCTCCAGTTTCGGATGTTTTTGGAGGTTCGTTAGACCACCATGGCAGAGAAGTTAGGGTTCCTGTTTCACCTACTAAAGGTGGGTTCAATCTTTTTTTTTTTTTTTTTAATATATAATTACACCACTGTTTTTTAATATAATTACTGAGCTTTGGGATTTTGGTAATAGGGGAAGGGCAAAGAGAGCAAGAAGACAATAATTACATGGAGAGAGAAGAGTTGAGGTTTGGGAAGAGAGAGAATGAAGGTGAGAAAATGGGAGGTGGAGATGAGAACAAAGTGAAATTAATGCCACCAACAAGTGTGATGACGAGGCTGATTTTGATCATGGTTTGGAGGAAACTCATCAGAAATCCCAACACTTACTCCAGCTTGATTGGCCTTACTTGGTCTCTTGTTTCTTTCAGGTACTATATTCATTTCCACTTATTAACTGTCAAAAAAAATGTGTTGTTCCAAGAGTTTATGGTACAATTTTTAGCATGGTGCAACAACCCCTAATTAATGGTGATTAGTTTGCTAAAACAAATTGAGTAAAAGGGATTTTTTTTTTAATTTGCTGATAAAAGTAATTTGAGGGGTTTGAATTTCATGAATTCTAAAAAAAAAAAAACAAGAATTTTGAGGAAGTTAGATGTTACACCTGATTATTTACACCATGTGGATTTAAATTTTAGATAAGCACACATACACATAGGTGTGTGTGATTATGTGTAGATATATGGTTCAAATTCATCCGGTGTAATTAAATATCTTCTAATTTCTCATAATTTTGTGGGATTAGTTAAGGTTTTATTTTATTTTTTGATTTAAACATCAGTATTGATAATTGTTTTATATTATTCTATTTTTTGTAGGTGGCATGTTGAAATGCCGGCCATTATAGCAAAGTCCATCTCCATATTGTCGGATGCAGGTCTTGGCATGGCCATGTTCAGTCTTGGTGAGTACTTAATCGTGTCAATATTATAATTAATTAATTTAATCTCCAACTTAATTAAATAACTAATGATTTGTTTGAGAAAAAAAAAAAAGATAAGCAAAAGCATGCTCAAAAGCAAAAGTTGTGCTCATGATAACAACATGTCTCTGCCTCTTCTTTATTATATTTCTCCTGTGAAACTGCATGCCTTCTTTCCCCTTTCTCTCACTACAATCAGACAATAGTTTAAAGAAAAATACACACACAGTAAAACACCATCAAGAACACACAGTGGTGGGGGTGGTGATGATGTAGATGTATGTCTGCTTTGTTTTTGTTTTTGTTTTTTTGTTTTGTTTTTCCTGAGACACCGTACTATGAGAAAAAAGTGTAGTTTAAAGAAATACACACACAGTAAAACACCACCAGGAAAACACAGTACTGGTGGTGGGAGTGATGATGGCAGGTGTCAGGTTTGTGTTTGTTGTTTTTTCTTTTTTCAAAATGCATGCCATTTTCTCTTTTTCTCTTTTCTCTTTTGCACACACAGTAAAACACCATGAGGAACACACACACACACACACACACAGAGAATGATTATATATAAAAATAAATGCATGCAGGTCTATTCATGGCATTGCAACCGAGGATAATAGCATGTGGGAATAGTGTGGCAGGATTTGCAATGGCTGTTAGATTCCTTACAGGGCCAGCTGTCATGGCTGCTGCTTCCATTGCTGTTGGCCTTCGTGGTGTTCTCTTGCGAGTCGCCATCGTTCAGGTACTACGTCATCACCTTTTTTTCTTTTTTACAATTCTTATCATAATTATATTAAAAAAAAAAATTTAATTTAATGCTACTAATTAAAAAGCTTAGTTATTTAGAGCTTCTTGAATGCAAAGGTTCTTTCATTTTATCCAAATAATTCATGGAAAATACCATTTTACGACAACTTTACTTAATAATGTGCCCAACTCTTATAATTATTTTCAAGGGTAAATTACAAAAAACACCCCTACCTATCCGTAATAACCAAAAACCCCCCTCTAATTAACTGTTGATCGAGTTTTTTAACAAAAAAATGTGTACAAATTGTGTACAGTCTATTATATCTTCTGTTAAATAGGTGAGAAATAAAAGAAAATATCTTAAATTGTGTAAAGTTTATTCCCTGGAATAAAAAAAATACATCACTGTAAGGGGTTGGTGAAAGACTGAAACAAATTACCTTAGGGGTTTTTGATAATTACGAATAAGTGGGTGTTTTTTGTTATTTAGCCTAAGTTTAGGGGTTCGTAATTTACCCCATTTTCAATGTATATTTGCCTTATTCTATACATACTAGTTACTAGGCTTGTTAGCTTCACAATTAGATAAGAGTTGTTTGCACGCGTACATATGTACATGCTTGTGTTTGTGTGCAAAATTAAATTAATATGTATAGATACTAGCTTGGTATATTCTTATAATTTATGCATGGTCCCCCATTTTAGAATGGAGTGAAGGTGGTGAAACTCACTTTTTGAAGAGAATCTAACTAAAATACTCCAACACATGACACTCAACACGTGAATCTAACTCTTTCTCGATTAATTATCAAAAAAAAAAAAACTCTTTCTCAATTATTTAATTAAAAAAAAAAAAACCCACAGTGATGCAAAATACATACAATAGAAAAGAAATGTCATTCTTTTATTTTACATTCTAAAAGGGGATGTTCGATAAGTTCAAATGCAACAGGAAAACGTGACAGTGGAAGGAAATCATTTTAAGAAATAATAAATGTGTTTTTCTCTATTTGCCCCTTAATTTTTTGACTTTATTATTTATAATATTGACAAACAAAATATGCAGGCTGCTCTGCCTCAAGGAATTGTCCCCTTTGTTTTTGCTAAGGAGTATAATGTACACCCCGATATACTCAGCACCGGGTGAGTGTGCATATCTGTTGGTGATGTATATTGTTTTTCTCATACGTAAGACTATATTTCGTTTCTCGTAATGTCATTAACATCTTTATCACGTGTCCATATAGGGTCATATTCGGGATGCTAATCGCTTTGCCAATAACGTTAGTCTACTACATTTTGTTGGGGCTATGAAACCGGGATTGAACGAGCGATTCGTAAAAGAAATGATGCTAAAAAAAGCTTCATTCGGAAAGCTAAGAACGTTTGGCATCGAAATGAATTTGGACAAGAAGTCCTTGAGATCCAAACCAAGTGAGGAAAGAAGTGAATTGTGTTTCCTAGTAAAAGATATGAAATCATGTTTCTAATTGTTTTTTTTATTTTCAAAGAATTAGTACTCACACCAAGGAATAGAGGTAAGAAAATAGGGGGATGGTGCCCTTTAATTTCCTTTTGATGCAAATATTCTATTTCTATCCTTAGAAGCAAAAAAGTTATAGCCAATGCTTTAGAGTGCTAGAATCTAGAATCTTGGGGGATATTTTGTAATGTGATTAGTCAAAGGAATCTTATCATTCTTGACCACTTTATTGACAATCCCATGACATTTTAGTAATATTGATGGAAAATTTTGTCAATTTTCGACATCAATTTGTGGGAAGAAATTTTTTTTCGAAAAGTTGGTGTCGAAAATTGACAAAAATTTCAACTTGTATTAGTCCAAAATAGACGATGGATTTTAAGAAAAAAAAAATGAAAATCCACTTCTAAGCTAAAAAAACATGGATATATACATCAATGGATTCTCCTTCCATGTAAACTACCATTTTGTTGTTTTGTGACTCCATTATGTAAGTTTTATGAGGTTTCAATTTCTTTGAATTTTGAGGGTTTGTGAAGAAGGAAGGTGTTTTTGAAGAAGGAGAGAGTGTGACGGTTTTATGTGTGTGGTAAAAAAGGAAAAATGATATTTTTTTATATTTGTGTGGTATTGATTTTTATTAAGGGTATTAATGCTATTACCTATTTAATAGCTATTTAATATCTTTTTTTATTGGGGTGGTATCAAATTGAGAAAGAAATGGTATTTATTTTAGCGCCAAAAATTTAAAGTCCAAGAATCCTCAAATATTTCAAATTACTCTTATGAAAAGTCCCAAAGTTGTTCAAATTGTAGGAAATCAAATTTGACTCCCGGAGACTCGAAGTCATTTTTCCAGATCTCGAACATAATTTCAAAAAAAATTTCACGAATAATCTCGTGTCCTTTTATGTTACCTCAGTTATTACATGTATATTTGTTAACTATGCAAGATACAAAGTGGAAAACGGGTGAGGCGGCTCACTTGGTCTGGAATGACCCAACCACGCCGGTATTGAGCTACGACAGCTCGCGGCTGGCAGCGACTGTTGGTCGTCATTTGCTCGTTCAGCGTCTTGTCTCCCCTCATCTTGATTAATTGGAAATGAAAATTCAACATGTTACTAATATTCTATCTATATATGAATATCTTACCTAGAACTAATCTAAACAATCCAAAAACATAAAAGAAAATGTTGGCACACAATCTTCCATTAATATCTCGTAATGGAAAAAACGACAAATAAGTCCCACTCACGAGGTAGTAGGATCCAATCACATAAAACGTGTTATGCCAAATTTCCCTTGAGATGACGTTTTTATTACGACAAATATGTTTTCGTCTCTCTAATTGCGATGTTTTTTTTATTAATCGTCACAACCGAATCGTTAAGAAAAATACTTTAAGATATTTGTGCTTGAAATATGTATCGTCGCAAGTAGTCATTGCAACTACGAGGAAGAATATTTTCGTTTATTTATAGCGACAAAATTTTTAATATAAGTCCCATGCCAAACCATATTTTGAAATTATTCTATTGAATAAACATTGCGCGTGAGGATTCTCCAAGAAACGTCGTAATAAAATGGCCGTGTGGTAATTTTTATTTATAATTCATTGCGAACGTTTTTCCACAATCTTTTTAATGGTTGTTCGCAACCTTGTCTTGAGGAATTGACGCATATTGATTGGAGTTGTTTCAACGTTTTTAATAAACATAGCAAATTTGAAAGTAAAAACCCTAACGCCTCACTTCCGCCGTAACATGTTTCTCTAATTACACCTCCTCCTTTCACAATTAACATAATATTTGATAGCAGCTCAATTTGTCCCAAAACTCAAACAAAATAAAACCCTACACAAAGCCCAAACCCATTTTGCCTTACGCATTACATTTGATGAAGCCTACCACCAGTCCCACATGGATATATATAGATGACGGATGTGACTAAAGCCCACTTGTGATTAGTGACCTGTGCAGTGTGCTACCTACTGTGCTCGCGTGGTTCTCTCCATTGAACTGCCTAGACTGCAGTCTACAAAGTTAATAACAACATAATAAAAAATTATGTAATTAATGCAGTATTGAAATTTTAAAATGACAGATAATATGGAATACAGTTTTCTCAAAAATAAAATGCAATTGGGCAAGCACTCGTATGCAACCGAGCCATTAATTAAACAGCATAAATATTTATATCACACCGTGGGGGTGCGGGGTGGGGGGTGGGGGTGAATAGAGACAAATAAAAGCAAGCAAATATCTGCACGCAAAACGTGAGTGTTGTCGTTATCAAAAAGGTGCAAGCGTTTGTGTAATGAAGGAAGAGGATTCGTATGTATAAATGTCTCCCACTAACTCGTGTCGGGTCGGCCATTTTCAGGACAATACTTTGTGCCCCTTTTCTTCTCTCCCTATCTTTGCCTCCTTTCTCGCTCTCTACCAATTCCCCACACACACACACCCAATTATCGTTTAATTACAATTAGTCCATTACACTTTTTTTTTTTTTTTTTTTTTTTTTTTTTTTTTTCCTTTTTTTTTTTTGAGAGAAATTACAATTACACTCACTCCCTTCACAATAATGTAATTACCAAAGTGCTTTTTTTTTTTTCTTCTTTTTTTTTTCTTCCCTTTTTGACCCTACTTATACCATTAACTATTTAAAAAGAAACCCACACACTATGTACAAAATTAATATGAATATCCGGAAGTATGTACTTTTTATTACAATAGAAATTACTATTAGTGTTTGTTATATCCTTTCATTTAAAGCTTACTAGATCATATTTAAAATTATAACGAATCAACTTGCGTATTGATACGGACCAAAATATCAATATGGGCTTCCTAGCTTTTAAATGGGCCTTAGAGCTCAAAACAGCCCTCGTAAGGCCCAATGAACCGACCCAAGTCATACTTACCCGATCTAAGCAAGGTTTTATTTTGCTCGGGATTCGGTCGAGAAAACTTGTCATTTGGGAGCTCGGATTATCGAGACCGAGCAGAGTATATGAGTTACAAACATGCGACGGGGCTAGGAAAGGGATTTTAGGGGAATTCACTTCGTTGAGTCTTAAACCCAAAAGCCGAAGACCCTAAAACAAGCTATTGCGGACACTGCCAAAACTATTGCGGGATTCTTTCTTCCAATTTAATTTTATTTCTTTAGTTGCAACTTTTTCCTTTCCTTTTGATTTTTTTTCCTTCATGGACACATAATACTCTATTTTTCCTATAAAACACAAAGTTCATCAATTAAAACACAAATATAATTAAATCTAAAGAAAAGATCCACAAAAAGTAAACATATTGAGTGTAGTTTTTACACTCAACATATCCTCAAACTTGAACTTTTACGTGTCCTCAAGCAAGGACTAATGACTTGCAAAACAACAAATTCAACTAATGCTTCTCATCATATAAATTAATGGCCAAATTTCACGTATTGAGAACTTGCAACTATCATAACCTTTCTGAAAAATATACAAGCTCGCAACTCAAAGAAACTTAATTGCTTACCATTGCAAAAATTCACAAATTATGTTATTGCTTCAAGCATCCAATATTTGTATTTCTTCTACATAATCTTTCCCCACCATTTTTTTTTCTTTTTCGAGAAGAATAGGATCTCACCGAAGTATCACAAATAAAATGATGTGTCAATAGCCATTAATCCACACGTACCCGTTTTTGTGATTTGCCACTTTAATTAAAAAAAGTTACACGGGTACACCCAAACCCACTTTTTTGACGCATATAACCACCTAAGGATGCACATAATGTAAGGGTTGTTTGGTCTTTTCAACTCAAAAAAATCGTGGGTACTTTTTTTTTTATTTATTTTTATTTTTTATTATTTCTATTTATCGACATAAGCACGATGTTGATTTTGTTGGCTAATTATTTACACATTAATGTCGAGTTTTAGGTACAAAATTCTAGACATGGCCACGGGGCGGGTCGGGTCCGGGTCCGACTTTTAGAGGACCCGAAACCGACCCGCGTGGAGGCGGGTCCACCCGTGTCCATCCGGGTCCAGGTCGGGTTTGGGTCCACGCGGTTTTTCCATTATTTATTTATTTTTTTTTACAAGAAAGAAAAAAACTTATATTGAAAATTGAAAAAACATGAGATTAACTTTAAATTCAAAATAAAAAAATAATTGAATTTAAACACTAAACAATTTTAGAAAAAAATGAAACGATTAAGACTTTGAGACATAAACTAAATAAAATGAAAGTTGTGAAGATTGAATTATGGGTATTTATAAGTGAAAGTAATAATTTTATGGGTATTCATTATTATTATGGATATTCATTATTATTAAATAAGTTTAATTAAATTATTAATAAATATAATATAATAAAAAATAAAAAAAAATTGAAAGGACTTGAGCTTAATTCATTTAAATCTTACGATTCGATTCTAATATTTGAATAAAATGTAAATGTAAAAAAAATGATTGAACCATAGGTCATATGATTTAATTCTTACGATTTTTTTTACAAATTATACCAATTATTAAAAGAAAAATCACTTCATAATATTTTGATTATACTCGTTATATATAGTTTTATTTTTAAAGTAAAAAAATAATTAGAATGAGATATAATCTATTTTTGTTAAAATAAACATCATCTATATTTTTAAATAATTATCTTATGATAAAATAATCAATAATTTTAATAAGTTCTTGTCAACAATTGAGGTTAATCAATTTAAATTAATTGAAATGAGTTATAACCTATTTTTTTAAATAAACATATTATTTTATTTTTCATTCGAATTTTTCACACTATCGATTTTAATAACATAAGTGAGTTTGTATTAAGTCAACGCGTTTGTTTATATATTGAATTGATTCAATACTTTATATTTTTCAATAGTGGAGATTATATTGATATAGTAATTAATAATAGATATTTTGAAGTATTAAACCGGGATTCTATATATATTTTTAAAATTTTCTTATATTTCATTTGTTAATAATTTAATTAAAATTATTTAATAATAATTAATATGAAAATTAATAATTTATTTAACATATTTATCATTTTACACTAGAGTTTTATATTATATATATTTATTGTCTACATTTAACCAAATATGTTTGTTGCCTTAGTTGTTGGAGTTGACAAACTATGCCCATTTACCTGGGTTTGAATTCCCCAATGTCCAATTTTTTGACAAAAAAAACCCAAAATCCTACCCATGTAAATGCATAACTCATTAAGTTCCTCCACCGTAGAATCTTTCATTTTAATGTTTTCTGACTCATTAAAATGTAAATGCATAACTCATTAAGTTTCTCACAGCCAGACATGGACCCCACCACCTGATGGGATTATTAAAGTTAACTTTGATGTCTCTTTGCCGCCGAACAGAGATTTCTATGTGGTCGCTGCAGTCGGTAGAGATCATGGTGGACGATGCAAATGGTGGTCGGTACAGAGCTTCAAAGGCAGACCGCGATCTATTGACGGGGAAGCACACGCGGCAATGCATGCAATCAAAATGGCACATAATCAAACATGGAGTTCTGTGGTGTTTGAAGGTGATTGTCTAGAGGTTATAAACACTTTTAAGGATGGAGATGAGTCACTAGCATCATATAGAGCGTTTGTTGAAGATAGCTTACGTATTATCTGTTCATTTTCCTTATGTGATTTTCATTTTGTCAAAAGAGAGGGCAATTATTTAGCCCATACTTTAGCTAGTCAAGGTTTATTTATTTGTTCTGAAGGAGATTCTCTCCCTTCAAACATTGCATATTTTGCCCAATAAATTATTCTAGTTTATCTCAAAAAAAAAAAAAAAAAAAAGTAGGCCATAATAATCGTGTCATGAATACACCACTATTAATGATAATTATATATACAAGAGAATATCACATATAATAATATATAATCCATCATTACAAATTATAAATAAACATAAAAAAAACATAAAAAAAGTAATTACCAAAGGAAAGAAAGGTAAGGATAATAATAATAATAATAATAATAATAATAATAATAATAATAATAATAATAATAATAATAATAATAATAATAATAATAATAATAATAATAATAATAATAATAATAATAATGATTATGGTAATTATTCCGATCTCATCGTCAGTGAAACAGTGACGTTGAAGAATTTAGCATCTTCGTCGGAGATGCGTTGGGAAAGGATTTTGGCGTAGATTTGGAACAACGGGTCGATTACATGTTGACCGAAATGGTTAACGAGTAGGGGTTCGGCGACGGATCTCATGCATTGGGTCAGATAATCACCAGCGTCATTGTTATTGGGCTCAGGCCCACAGGAGGCCCATGGAATTTCTGAGGACTCGAGTCGGCTGATGGTGAAGGACCCTTCCTTTTCAACCTCTTTTTTCACTTCTTCAGCTGATGGTGTGTATTGGGGTATGTTGAATGACTCTAACTTTTCCTTTTCAACTACTCCCTGCAATATGCATAATTCATGTATACAATACAACCTTCGCATTGGCGAGTTCAAAAATTTATTATAAGATGAGCATATATAATTAGGACGAGAAAAAAATTAGGAATTTTTTGCATATGTTAAATTTTGAGTAGGCTAAATAATAATATTAGTATAATATAATGGAAGAATTAGGCTATGTTGTTACCATTTTCAAATTGTTTTCATTATTTTGCCAAAATAAGATTTTCTTTCTAAAATAATTTCAAACTTTTATTCAAAAGCAATTCAAATATTTCTCTCTAACAAACATGATTTGACTGAAATACAAAATAAAATCAATTTATATTTCAAATTATTCTTATAAAATATATTTTTCCAACATCTTTTAGACATGATTTTACTGGCTACAGTACAAATTATCCAAAATAAACAAACATCTTTATTTTATTTTTAATTTTTTCTTCTAAAACATCTTTCTCCAAAATAAAATGAAAACCGAAGCCCAAAAACTTACCAAACATAGCCTTAATAAATTGAGGTGGCTTGAGTCAACCCTAGCCATATATATATATATATATATATATATATATATATATAATTATTAATATCAAACAAACCCTAGCTAGCTAGTCAAATTATATATAATACCTACCTCAGATACCATTTGCTGTAGTGAGAGGGCCAACAACTCCCAAGGCCCAGTTTGGTTGGGCTGATCCGGGTGGATAGTTCCTCTAATCCACCCGGATCTCAGCTTTGGTTGAGCCCAACTGGGTTCTGGATTGTACTTGGGCCCGGGTCCAGATCAAGGATTTGCTGGATCTCCCATCAGGCCAAAGGAGGTGAGATTGGGTAATCTCATCCTGCTCTCAGCCCAAACAAGTAAAGTATATTACCTTTATGCCCTGAATATTTATTTCTAATTACAAGACTACCCCATATATATATGAATTACCCCAAAAATTATTGTGTTAGCCCTAGAATTTTACCGAGATACAATACACGCCGTTCTTCGTTCTGCTTTTCTCCACTGGGGTAGTTTTATCACCGAGGTAATTTTCCGATAATCAACTCTTCTAGGTTCTCTAACACGCTTCTTTCTTCGTTTTTTAGGCCCCTCTAAACCGGTTGAAGAATAATCAACTCATCACAGATTGATTTCTTATTTTTCATACTTCACTAGTTTTTTCTTTTTTTATTTGGTTTTTTCCGATAATCAACTCATCACAGATTGATATCACAGATTTCTTCAAATGCATCCGAGTATTGTTGAAGAATTTTGGGTTCATATGGGTTTTGATTTTTTTTATTTTTCTAATTATCCGTTTCTCATCTCGTAATTAAATTTATTTGTTTCCGTTTTGCAGGTGATTTTCGATTTTGGTTTCGTAATAGTTCGTAGTTTGGCCGGGCTGATTCTGTTCTGGCCAAACGATTCCGGTGTTGCAGCTGGTTGACGGTTGGCAGTCGATTATTCCGGTTCTGCTACACGACGATTTAAGGTGAGTTCTCCAATGGGTTTAAGCTCCTCTTTAGATTACAGATTAAGGATTGAGAAAGGTAGCATTTATATGGAAAAATACATTTTATCTTTTGTTTTGGGAAAAAATAGTACATTACCTCATCCATTTTTATATTTTATCTTTTGTTTTGGGAAAAATATATTTTATCTTTTCTTTAGATTACAGATTAAGGATTAAGCATTTTTTATGTTGTTTACTAAATAGGATCACAATTGTTAATGGCGAACACGAGTGAGAACCAAGTAATAGTTTTCGCGGTGTATGAATTAGTCGAACAAATGCAAGTACTGTTAACAATGCTTAGTAGGCTCATCCGTTTGCTTCTACGTCGCCGCCGGGTCAATAATATTGTCGGTTCATCGTATAGTATGAGGGGTAAGATACCTGCTCAAGTCCGAAATTTGACTTACATAATTGGAACTAGTGACAATATATGTCGAAAAAATTTGCGAATGAATATGGATACATTTAGCCGCTTATGCTACCTTCTTCAAAATCTGGGTGGTTTAGGACCCACTAGGCATGTATCCGTAACCGAACAAGTAGCATTATTCCTTCACGTTCTTTCTCACCATGAAAAAAATGTAATCATCCAAACCAATTACCGAAGATCGGGATGGACAATCAGTAAGTACTTTTCGAGGGTCCTAAATGCTGTCCTCAAATTACATAATATTATGCTCGTTCAACCCGTACCGGTAGACGAAGATTGCGAGCATCAGCGTTGGAATTATTTTCAGGTACATAAACTAAAAATAATTAAAAAAAAAATTGTATACTAAATATTTTAAAACCTTACACAAATATAATTAGTCACCAGTCCGGCAATGTGTTAACTATGCACATACCTTAATCTAATTTCCATTTTGTAGGGTTGTTTAGGTGCCCTAGACGGAACTTATGTACACGTACGTGTTCCACTAACTGAAAAACCACGGTATAGGAACCGGAAGGGTAATGTTTCTGTAAATGTCCTTGCCGTGTGCGACGTGAACCTGAATTTTGTGTACTTACTGACCGGATGGGAAGGTTCGGCTGCCGATAGTAGGATCCTAAGAGATGCTGTAACCCGACCTAACGGTTTAAGTGTTCCAATCGGTACGCGTTTCATCAAAGTATTATAATATTTTTGAAAATATTCCTATAAAATATAAATTTAAAATTAAATTTTGTTTTAACATAATTCAAAACATTACAGGGCACTACTATTTAGTCGATAACGGATACACAAACGGCCCTGGTTTCCTTGCGCCTTATCGGGGTACTAGATACCACCTAATTGATTTTGGTGTTGGTACAAACACACCTCAAGATTTTAGGGAGTATTTTAATTTAAAACACTCTAAGGCGCGAAATGCAATTGAACGAGCCTTCGGAATCTTGAAGTCAAGGTGGGGGATATTACGGAGCGCGTCGTATTACCCGATCAAAATCCAAAATCGGATCATTATGGCTTGTTGTTTATTACACAATTTTATTCGCACCACTAATGATTTCGACCCGGAAGAAAATGTAGTTGCACAAGAAATTATTCGGAAAAATCCGGATCGTAGTTATGCGGTCATCCAAAGCGTTGAGCCCTCGGACGAATGGACTGCGTGGCGTGACACCCTAGCAATGAATATGTACAACAATTGGTTACGCGAGCGAGGAATGTGATACTTTAAGTAAACAATTGTTTGTTACAATTTTATGAATTTTTTTTTTGAACATTAGTCTGGTTAATGTGTTATGTTCCCTGAATTCAAAATAGCGAAGTATGAAAAATATTTCATACTGTATACCTTTTTTTATATTTCTATTAATCATTAATGCAATTTGTTTGTTACGTTTGTTTAAATTCGTTATGCCTTTTTTCCGTGCAATTCTCTAATCGTAAACATAATCAGGGACAAAATGTCTACATCACTTTCACAAAGAAGTTCGGGGTCTCGCAAACCGCGAACCAACATTACGAGGCGATGTTGGTCTCCAATGGAAGAACAACACCTAATTACCTCACTAAAAGACATCGTTTCGCGTGGGTGGAAATCCGACAACGGGTTCCGGACCGGTTACTTAGGTGTGTTGGAACAACACATGGCTCAAAAATTCCCCGGGACCGACATTAAGGCGGATCCTATGATTTTATCAAAGCTTCACGTTTGGAAAAAAAATTATGGCTCGCTTTCCCAAATGCTTTCAAGGTCGGGATTTTGTTGGAATGAGTCGGCGAACACCATTGATGTAATCGACGATCAAGTGTGGAACGATTATGTTAAGGTATTCTTCTATCGGTTACTATACATTAATAATTGAAACCCATAATGCGAACCAATTTAATGCACCTCTACCATCTTCATTTACTTTTGTAGTTCGATTCAAATGCCCGGTTGATGCGCTATAAATCATGGCCATATTTCAAAGATTGGACAATCATCTTTGGAAAAGATCGGGCTACGGGGGAAAGTGCCGAGACTCTCGCCGATGCGATCAATGATATATCGAAACAAGATAAAGAAGCGGGCGACGATTCAATGGGTGGAGACCACATACCGCAACCTGCCATGCACTCCAACGAGAATGACTCGGAGAACATGTCCTCATTGCACGGTGAAGGTTACATGTCAAACATGCAAGGTGAAGGGACTTCAACCTCACATCAAAGTAGGGGTAAAAAGAAAGGCAACAAGCGTTCCCGAAACGATGACCTCGATGGTCGTATCGTGGATATGATGGTGGATATGACTAGGACTTTTGCGGAGACTAAAACATGAGTGAGAAAAACTCACCGATACGAATGTACTTGGTCTTTAAGATCCCCAATTTCTTACGAATGTACTTGTATGCCTAGTCTTTAAGATCCCCAATTTCTTACAAATGTACTTGAGTGAGAAAAACTCACCGTGCTTTTTTTGGATCACGGTTTGTGCCATGATGAGTGATGAGTTGTTGTCATTTCCAACAACGAAGTTGCCGACCCGTGCCTCGTACGCCAAAACTTGTATGAATGTGCCATCGATCTTTTGATCCCAGTTTAACTCGTACAAAAAGTCTTCTTGACGGAAAATTATTGACTTCTTAGGAGCCATTTTTTTCGATTTTCTTAGGAATATTAATGCTATGGTGGAAATGGTTATGGTAAATTCCTTTCGGATGTTCCTTAAATAGAGTAGTAACTACATGAATAAGAGACCCTTTATCACCATGAAAACATAAGCAATAATTGAAAGTATGGAGGTGAATATCTTATCGGATCCATTTTTGACATAATATTCTCTCATGTCATTGATGTGGTTGATTGACACATGAGGGAAGTAATGTGGTTGATTGATATATGAGGGAAGATGGAAGAGGATATAGTTGCAGCAAATGGAAGAGGATATAGTTGCAGCAAACACATTCTTCTTGTTTCTTTTGAATACAAAAATGTATAGAGTAATTTAATATACTACAACTTTGATATTGTAAATAATGCATAAATTGTTTTAAAAGAATTTACACAATTCTTCATTTACTCCTCTCCTGCAAGCTCGATAGAGGGTAAAGTGCTGCAAATGTATTATCCATAAGTTATGAATGAAGGCAAGATTGTATGTAATTTAATATAATATAATATTGATATTGTAAATAATGCAAAAAGTGTTTTAAGAGAATTTACACTGTGTTTGCTTCACTCCTCTCCTGCAATCTCGATAGAGGGGAAAGTATTGCAATTATATTTTACAAAGAATGGGTGCAGCAGAGAAATATTTTGCGCAATGTCAGGTGTATAATATAATAATAAAAAGGGGTTGCAAGCGGTGGAAATGTAATTATCCAAAAATGTGAGGGCTGATTTTATAATTACAGTAAAATGGGAGGAAAGAATCGGTTGTTTAAATATTGTCATGCGTATAATATAATAATAAAAAGGTCTTGCAAGGGGTGGAAATGTAATCATCAAAAAATGTTAGGGCTGATTTTGTAATTAAAAGAAAATGGGAGGAAAGGATTGGTGCTGCAAAGAAATATTTTACAAATTGTCAGGTGTATAATATAAATAAATATAAAGGGGTTACAAGGGGTTGAAATGTAATTATCCAAAATGTTGGGGCTGATTTCATAGTTACAGTAAAATGGGAGGAAAGAATGGGTGGTGTAAACAATATTTTTAACATTGTCGGGTGTATAATATAATAATAAAAAGGGCTTGCAAGGGATGAATATGTAATTATACGAAAATGTTAGGGCTGATTTTGTAATTAAAAGTGAATGGGAGGAAAAAAATGGGTGCAACAAGCAATATTGTAAAAATTACTGGGGTAATATAATAATAAAAAGGGATTATGAGGGGTGGAAATGTAATTATCCGAAAATGTTAGGGTTGATTTTATAATTACAGGAAAATGAGAGAAAATAATGAGTGCAGTTGGCAATAATTTAAAATTTTCAGATGTATAAACTAATAATAAAAATACCTTCCAAGGGGTGGTAATGTAATTAACCACATTATCCCACCCAATCCTCCCAACCATTCCTGAGATTGGCTCATCCGGATTGAATCCTACAGATCCATATCCAACCAACCAAACCTGATATACAATCCATACTTCACTAATCCATACAGTGTCATTTTTCAATTAAGCCCCAATCTCATCCCATCCCGTCCCTCCAACCAAAAGGGGCCCAAATGTAGCAGCACTCCTTGCTAGAAGCATCTTCACTCTTCCTTCCCAAAATAGTTAACACCATTCTACCACCACTCACCACTTCCTCCGATCGACATCTCAGAAAAGTCGAAAAATCTATTCGAAATTGTTCATAGTATGCCTTTATCACCTGTGCTGGGCTTTTACTTGACATATATATGTTTTCATTGTTCATTTCCAGCCCTTCAGGGACCTGATCCATGATCATGCATATGATACATACAAATATATATATATATATATATATATATATATATATGTTCCCCTAAACTTAGGCTAAATAACGAAAAACACCATCAGCTATCCGTAATAATCAAAGTCCCCATCTGATTAACCGTTGATCGAGTTTTTTATCCGTAATAGATTATACAATCTACTATACCTTTCTGTTAAAAAATAGGTGAGAAATAAAAGAAAATATCTGCAACTGTGTAAAGTCTATTCTCTCGAATTAAAAAAAAAACTATGAAAAGTCACATTGTAAGGGGTTGGTATAAGACGGGAACAAACCTCAGGGGTTTTTTTGTAATTACGAATAGGTGGGGGGCGTTTTTCATTATTTAGCCTAAGTTCAGGGGTTTTTTCATAATTTAACATATATATATATATATAATATATATATATATATATATATATATATATATATATATATATATATATATATATATATATATATATATATATATATATATATATATACGTACCTTGGAGAGCCACATGAGGCTGTAAGAAGAATGGACAAAATGAAGAGTTTTTGCAGCAAAAAGTCTGCTGTAAAAAGAACCTGGAACCCCTGACACAAAACAGTACTGATTAGGACATCCCACTTCGTGCAGCACCGGTAATAACTCGGCCTCGAAACTCGGCAGTGATGACTGGAAAATAGAGTTGAAATCATTTCCCGGAAGGTCATTCAGTTGTATCTGAAACTCCGGCAACGAATGGCCGTGCTTCCGGCATATCTTCTCGACAGTCTTCACAATTTCCGTCGCCACAAACAAAGCGTTTGGACCAGACGAGCAGCCCAACTCTGCTACACATAGTTTACCACCATTAATGCTGGTGATGCTGCTGTTGTATAATTCAGTTATTGCTTCTTCTCTTATTGGTTTTGTCATGGATATCACCTTTCTCTGCATGCATTTTTATTCAACCTTCATAGTTATTACATTAATACTATTCTTGGAATATTACTTCAATATTGTCTATCTATATATATATGTTATAATCATATATCTGAGCTAATAATATACATTTGTACATAAATAATATATGACTTGTTACCACTTAGAATGATATTCATCAATAAATATGCAGCAAATTCAAGTAGTAGTGATGAAATATGTTGGGGGGCGAACAAAAAACCGCCCGACCCGAACCGATCCGCTCGAAACCAGCATGATTTAGTTTTTATTTTTCTATTGACAGTTTGATAAATGAGGGATCCGCCAATTACCCGCTAATTACCCGATCGTCACCCGCCAAACCCGATCCATGCAGTTTATACTTCTAAATAACTAGGTGAAGTTTGTTAATTTTTTAAATCGCCTAGGGTGACCGGGTCGGGTTTTCTTTTTTGGACAAACTAAACCCACCCCGCCCGTAGGTGTTTACCCTTATAATATGTAGCAAATATTGTACTAGTTTGTTATGTTAACTGATATAATTAGTTAATAAATGATTCAAATTTAATAAGATTAAATAGTACGTATTTGGTATAGTAAATACTAAATATTTATACCTGAACTAGAGAGTTGTTAGCATAACTAGTCTCTCTCAGACCTCCATTCATACGAAGTACTCCCACTAGTTCCATTGCAACTCAATCTCTCTCTCTCTCTCTCTCTCTCTCTCTCTCTCTCTCTCTCTCTCTCTCTCTCTCTAGCTATCTCTCTCTAGCTATCTCTCTCTCTCTCTCTCTATCTCTCTCTCTCTCCTTTCTTTATATTTATATATATAATATAGTTGTGTGTTTAATTTGAATAAATGCAAGGACAGTATAGCCTATTTATAGAGGTTGTTCTCCACGAAAAGTTAAGGTGGCGTAGACCCAGTATGTTATAATTGCAGGCGGGGCCCCGAATTTATTTGAGATAATATTTATTATTAACGATGGGTTAAATGTTTACAGTGATTTTGTCCCCAGAACTTAGGACTGTTTTGCATTATTTGTCCCGCAATAAAAAAAAAGTCAACTTTATTATTTGTAGCACCAAGTGTCGAATTTGTCTACTTCGAGCAAAGAAATGACCGGAATCCACAACACGTGCTTCACAGGTGATTTAAGCCGGGGTATTTTCTCCCCTTCTTTTGCTTTGTCAATTTCATCCATTTTCTCCCATTTTTTGTAAGCTAATTTTACTTGATGATTTTATTTAACCCGATCAATTTGTTTTGCATTAGAGCACGTACATTTGTCACTCTTGGTATTAATCTTGTTAGTGCAAAGTACTTATTTTGGCATAATGTTTTCAATTTCATTCATTAAAAAAGAAAAATGTTTTCAGTTTAGCCTTCAACCCACCTCTTTCATGTGTGGCAATTAAATGATAAACAACGAATGAAATCTATATTTGTTGATTAATGAGAAACTCTATATTATGTTGATAATCAAATAGCGATCATCCTCATTATCCCTCTAAATTTGTAATGGGATCGGAGGTGAGAAGAAAGAGTGAAATCGGAGGTGGTGAGACGAAAAAGAATATAAGAAGAAATATAGTGAGAATTAGGGCAAATTTAGCCGAGTTCTGTTGGGAAAATTGGTTAAAAATTGAGTCATGAACAATTTTTTTTATCAATGTTATTGTACGGTCTAATTAAGTATATAAATGAATTTTGGATTAGAACCAATTTTGTGGTGAATGAAAAATTACTAGTCCAAATATAAGGAAAGTGGGATTTTGAGTTATCCCACATTGGAAAAGTAGAGCAGTACTGAGCTGTATATATATCAAAAACATTAGGTCATGGGCTTTTAACCCATTGGGCCCTTATTACTTGAAGCCCATCTCGATTGGTCTGACTGGTCTGAATTGGTGCGGCCGAACCAATGCAAACCATTCGGCTCAACTCGAAATGGTGCAACCACTCCCAATTGGCTCAACTCGAAATGGTGCAACCATTCAAACAAAAGGTACATTTGAAATGGTGCAACCATTCAAACAAAAGGTACCTTTTTGCTCCAAAGGACACTACTTTTCGAACCTTATAAATAGACCCTAACTTTCCCACAATTCCTCACTTCAATCCAAAAAATAAGCCTACTGCATATTAAGCCTACCCTTCACAGATTCTCTCGAAAAGTTCTACACAAAGTACAGTTCGTCGTACTTGGGATTTGGAGTGCTCCTATTCCAAGCCTTGCCGTTGTATCTTGGGAGACGATTTCCATTTAATCCGTTAGCACCGTTGTGGGGGAATTTCGTCTTAATTAAGGACAGAGTCAACTCGCCTCGGCAAATTTACGTTCATTGCAGATAATCTTTTTGTATTTTCACTAATTAATTTGTTCAACCAATTTACTAAATTCACTACCCGTTTTATGTATCGGGAACAACAATCTTAAGACGTAATCTTCGTGATTTAGTAAATTGTGTTTTCTGCACACGTTGGTAAACGAGATGGAGAAGAAAATAGAAAGTTCATTTTCGGACAGAACATGAAGTCCACATTCCTGCCCATTTTCGAAGGTGTTAAAGTCTGCATATGGCAAATTAACATTTCACAAAAGTTGTAGATAATCAAGTTAGCTTTCCAGAACATGTTGGATCGTCACAATCGGAGATCGTACGAAGAAGTTATGATGAAAACACAAAAGGGTGGCAGAACTGCCGATGCACCTTTTCATGAAAAAATACAACCGTTCGTGACCAATGCAACTCGTCGCATATTAACGCCTCACCAATGTCCAATGCACGAAATTTTGGTGAAAGAAGACTGAATCGAAGATCAATAATGAGGTTTTATATTATTTCGATTCACGAATATTATTTAATATTTTTTTTCTGGTTCCATTGTAGGTGCAAATTTACAGCACACCTATTCCGACTTCAAGGCTTATTTTGATCATGATCCAGTCCGAATCTCAGAAAACGTAAAAGATAAAAGTTGTAGAAAATTTTGTTGGCTATTCGGATCATATTGAATCAACAAAATCGGACTTCAGACGGTAGAGATATGATTAAATCATTCAGCACTGCCATAATATTGCCACGATTTGGTGCTACCCACAAAGTTTGAATTGACGAACATATAATTTATCGGGTACGTTTTTTAAGATATCTATTTGTGCAATAAATTGATAATGATATATGATATATTGGTGTATTATTGCATGATAGTTTAATTTTAATATGAGAAAGAATGGTAAACTATATACAATAAACTATATACAATATATTTGCTTAATGAATATTCATTATGTTTGTGTATCTACATTAATGATAGAAATATTTTTATCCTGAATGCAATAAAGTGATATGGTATGTGTTAATTATTTGAATAAGTTTATCATAAACCGCATAACGTTTCTCATGAAAATGCAATATTTATTTTCATAAATTGCATATAGTTTAGATACGGGATTAACTTTCTCCCAATTTTCATTTGATGTGGAACCGTCCAATTGATTAATTTTCGAATATGTTATATGAAATTTGTGAGTACGTGATCTTGTGATTGTCTATGAACGATTAGACTTGTCTCGTATATTAAGTATAAGTTACTTAGTAAAGAGGAATATTTCTATACATATTATTATTTGTGTAAGCCATACTAATTCCTTAGAATTGTGCTATTGCATGGACATGCATTGATTATGTGCGATAGAATTTATATCAATTTATTATGTTGGACATGAATTAATTTATGCCATGGAATATAAACTTGATGTTGTTATGTATTCATGTGTATGTTGATAAAGTATGCTTGATCTATTGTTTCTTTCTATAATCAACTAGTATGAACGTCGTGCTCACATATTATGTTTATTATAATATTGATGTACATATGTTTTATATATATGAATCATACTACGGTTTAATTAAAAGCATGATTTGAAATTAATTAAAATAGAAAGAAAGAGAAGCTCAATTCATGAGAGCACATGAGTAGTTCTTGTCTCAAGAACATAAAAGAAGATCGAGTCGTTGGGTTCGATTTGATTTGATATCACATTTGCAATATAATGATCTACAATGTGAATGGATGAGATCGGATTTTGATTGTTCAAAGATCCGAAATAGTTGTTAACGACAATGGATGTTTTGTTGAAATAAAATTCGAGCAGTTTAATTAAGAGCTCGTTTTGTAGAATTAAATCGTTGGATTTGACTGAATTTTGAACAGCATGTTTAGGACATGCAATCCTAAATTATGAATGATTAAGATTAGAATTTATATATTCTAACTTTAATGTTGAATAGTGGAGATCAACCACCATTTGAAGAGATTAATATTCTCTTGTTTATTGACAAGATTTAAGTATCTTGACGAATTTTCTCTTTTGAGGAAAAGGAAGAAATCTTACTATCTCATTTGTTGACAAAATTAAGTACCTTGAGAAGATTTCTCTTTTTGTGATTTCTTGAAATACAATTTCTTTTGTAATTAAATCATATTGGTGATCCAATATATTTCTCTAACTAAAGAAGAAATGTATTTTGTTACATTGTGTATCCTTATTGATAAATAAAAATAAGGATTTCAAAGCATTTAAATGCTATCTGAATGAAAGTTGGAAAATGCAACTTTGACAAATGAATTAAAAAATGAGTATTGAAACTCTTGAAAATTTTATGGATATCATAATGATAAATTCTAGAATACATACTCTAGAATTTGTGGGGAAAATTAGAAATGTGGGGGTCTTTAGGCCCTAACCAGTAATCACATTAATATTTAGAAATGTGGGGGTGTAAGGCCTAGTATAATTAAGGGGATAAATAATGATTGTGCACAAGATAGTCACTCTTGATGCAAATTGATTATATTGTGTTTTCTTGTAAAATAAGAAAATAAATAAGTTCGTAATAAAAGAACTTATAAATGTGTAAGTGGTAAATCATCAAAGTGATGAACAACCAAGTTAACATATGTGTGAGTGGCAAATCATCAAAGTGATGAACAACCAAGTTAATATATGTGTGAGTGGTAAATCATCAAAGTGATGAACAATCAAGATACAACAAGATGGCAAAGAAAATCAATACGTTTGATTTTGATTGATTTTATTAACTTATGAGTGATAAAATGAACGATGGACAATTGTCTTCTTTCAAGTATTAAACCATTAAGGTTTAGATGGACTATTCAAAAGAAGAATTAAAATGTTGGTCCAATTAAGCTGAATTAAATAGCTATGGAAAATCTTGATTATTTATAACAAGATATTGAAACTCGTTAAGTGATTCTAAAGTAATATTTGACAAAATTGTGTTATCAAATAGTTCTCGTAATAACGAGTGTGACCAGTGTGTTTATATTAAAAGCACATGGAAGTGTATGTCCATAGACGACATTATAATCATGAGATAATGATCATGATATTATTTTGAACGTTGAGAAAATATTGAAAATAAAAATAAAATTATGTTTGATGTCAAAAGACGAGGGTTTAGACGATGTAATCTTATAGATTAAAGTCACTAAAACAAAGATAGTCTTATTGAAAGTCTCATGTTGAGACACCACTAGAAAATTGATCTAGTTGTCTAAAAAACCAAGTGTTTACCTTGCCAAAAATAATGATGAACAATGGTTCAAGTACAAATATTTTTGGATAGTTTGGCAGCATAATGAATTGCAAACTAGTAAATATGTAATTCCAAAATAAATAATCATTCAATGATATTATAAGGGTTCTTAGGTAATCTA